TTCCAGTTCTAATATTCTATGGCTTTATTGGTATAACATCAGAGGATAGTGCCTGAACAAAAAAAATGGAAGTTTCAGGGAAATAGATTTGGGTCCAGTATAAAGAAGAGCTTCCAAATAATTAGAACTGTCTAAAGTGGAATGGTTTGCCAGATTAAGGAGTGAGCTCACCAGTGGAAGTGTTCAAGCAAATTTTGAATGACCACTTCTCAAGGATGTTGTTGAGAGAATTTACCTGTTCATTAGGAGGTCTAACTAGACAACTTCGAAGGTTCTTTTTAATGCTGGGATTCTGAAAGTTTGTAGGCAATCAGTTATTAAACTAAGAAGTATGAAGCTCATTGGTTTCTGATCCCAATTCTGTATCATATTTGAAACGAATTTCCCATGTCAATGAGGATAATTGAAACTTTAAAGTGATTTTCATGGCATTTGTATAGGACTTAATGCATATGGCATTTAGTCATAGACTAAGAGTTAGAAGGAACCTTAGAACACATAATTTTATGACACAGAATGTTAGAACCTAGAATATTAGGGTTGAAAGGGAACTTAGAGCATAGGATGTTAGGGTCAGAAGGAAGCCTAGAATATCAGAACTTGCAGATTATCTAGTCCAACACTTTCATTTATTTTTAATATTTTATTGATGCCTTTTGATTTTGCTATCACAGTCATTTCCCAGTACCCAAACTCTTCATTTTACAAATGAGGACACTTGGGTCCAGAGAGAAGAGAGAACTTGCCCAGGTCACACAGACATTTAGAGACTAAAACTTAGATTTTCTAGCTTCTGGTCTAGTGCTTTTTCTACTATGCTATTTCTTTTTAGGGAAAGAGCACAAGAAATATTCAGTTACACAAAATAGTTGAGACTATTGACCATGAAGTCTAATTTATTTGAGGCATATCTACTGCATTCAAAGGAGAAAATATTGTTCTCAGTAATGTATTGAGTCGTTAGCATCTTCAGCCTAAGAAAGCCCTCAGTGGGGAGAATCACCCATCAGTGCAAACTTGGCATTTTTCATTTTCTGATCTATAATTGTCATTTGTGTGGTACACTTGTTGTTGCTGCAAGATGCCAAATGTACTTATGCATTAGATGCATATTAAATAACTACCCAACATCAAGGTCATAGTTCTAAGAAAGGCTGCCCTGTTGTTGCAGAATGAAATTGATTTCTTGTGATGCTACATTCTAGAATCTTGCTGACAAGGAGAAACAATTGATGTGAGGCATTATTAAAGCCTTAAATGTTTCTTCCTTGTTAATGCTCTTTTACAAGCTCCAGGTAACTGATAGTGCCTAAGGAATTGGCAGAAGCTTCACTTAGAAATACAATTGGGAAGGAAGTCAGTAAAATCCAGAGTGTGGAGGTGCTATATGGGGCTCTCACAGTGAACTGAACAACGGCAACAATTCAAGTGCTTGCTAGGTTCTAGGCCCCACAGATACAATGACTAAAACAAAATAGTTTCTGTCCTCAAGGAGCAAATATCTTATTAGAACAATGGATAGATAGATCATTGGAAATGAGACAATTTCAGGAGAAACAGCACTAAAAATTATGTGTATCAGGAAAAAGCTTTGTGTATAAAGTGACACCAAAACTGAGCATTGAAGGAAGGCAGCTGGTACTCTGAGAGGTGAAAGTGAGGAAGGAGGCCAGTCCTGGCATCTGCAATGGCTCGGACATAGGAAGTGGACAAAACAACCAGTGCACCACTTTGTCTGGAATGAAGAATGTCAAAGAGAAGTAATATGAAATATCTGGAAATATCTGGAAAGCCATATTGCACAAGGCTTTAACTGCCAGGCTGAGGACTTGGTGTTTTATCCTGGAGGAAACAGAGAACCACTGAAGATTTTTGAACAGCAAAGTAACATAGTCAGACCTGCAATTTAGGGAAGTTAATTTGGCAGCTGTATCAAGGATGGATTGGAGAGGGGAGAGACTGAGATCAGGGAAACCAAGTAGAAGGCTGCTCTAGTAGTTGCAGGCAAAGGGTGATTTGATGAAAGCCTGAGCTAGGATAGTGATCATAGTATGAGCAGAGAGGAAGGATGTACAAGAGACGGTAGAGGTAGAATCGAGTATCTCTTACTGGTTATTTTTTGGGTCCTCCTGTCTCAGAGTGGAGGTAAATAGTAACTGTTTCTCTTTTGGCCAGCAACTCTTTCCCTCCCAGTTTAATTTTTTTTTTTTAAATTAAAGGGGCCGTCCCTTGACTCACTTCTTAAAGAGGCCAGTTCACTGAATGGGCGTTGCCTCACTCAAAGTGAGAACCTGAAAAGACCTTAGCTTAAAAGGGCCAGGGTCTCCCATTGCATCCTGAGCCATCTCTAATCATCCTGATGAATATCTGGCCGCTGGACCCAGATGGCTCTGCAGGAGAAAGTGAGGCTGGTGACTTTGCACAGCCCTCCCTCACTCAAATCAAAGTCAAGTGCAAGTCATGTCATCATCTTCCTGACATCCTGGTCCTCTTTGAGAACGAAGGACAAACCACAAGCAAGAGGTAGAATCAACAACCCTTTCTGGGAATTTGGATGTGGACGGGAAAAGAGATATAGAACAAATAGCTTGAGTATATGATAGATTTTTAAAAATTATTTTTGAGTTAACAGAAATCTGTTTTATCTTCCACCCACCATCAACCCCACTGGGGAAAAAATAAAGAAAAACAAATTCATTGTAACAAATATGCATAATCAAGCGAAACAAATTCCCTCATTGGCTGTGTTTTTAAAAATGTGTTTCACATTCTATACTTGAATCCATCACAGGTGGTGGATAGCATACTTCATTGTTGGTCTTTTGAAATCATGAATTGGTTTTGCATTGATCAGAGTTTTTACAGCCTTCAAAGTTGTTTATCCTAGATATGTTGTTGTTATTATTATTTTAAGGATGAGAGAGATGCCTCCTGACATGTTTGTAGGCAGCAAGGAAGAAACCAGTAGATAAAGAAAGAATGAAGATAGACTGGGGTGAGGGGTGGGAGGGAGTGGAGATGTCTTTGAGGAGTTGAGGCCCCAGAGGAGATAGGAGCAAGAACACAAATAGAGATTGGTCTTGGCAAGAAGAAGGAATGCTTCATCAGAAAATGGAGCAAAGGAGGAGAAAAGGGGGCAGATGTAAGGAATTTTGACGTATGAAGTAAGGAAGAAAGTGTAGCTCAAAACAGATGGATGGCCTTGATTTTTTTTCCATAAAAGTGAGAGAGGGGGAAGTTCTTTGAGGGAAAGAAAGGAGGAATGAACTAGGTGAGACTTGAAGATGGAATAGAAGATTTGTAATTCCTGTTCTGGGGAGTGTGATAGAAGGTCAATCAGTGAAAAATAAAAGACTTACTATGTAGCTGTGGCGGCCTAGTTGAGATTAGATGTCATAAATTTGTAGTGGATGCATCATGTTTGCCTGACTTACTTCAGCAGTGTTCAGTAGCACATGTAAGTCAAAATAGAAGAGTTGGATGGTGGGGATAACCTAGAGTTTGGGTTTCGTTAGGACTGAATGACAGTGATAAGAGGGCAAGGAATTCAAAGGTGGAGGATAGTTTATCATTAAAGTGATGAATCATTTGTCTTGATAAGTATCTAAGATTCTGAAGGGAAGAAGGTGAGACCAGAGCAAGGGCAATAGACTGGGAGAATAAGGAAGGGGTGGCAAGACTGGAGCAGTCAGGGTAAGGAGGAAGAACAGGCTTAAGAGGAATGAGGTAGAAGGTAATGAGCTGATAGGAAGTTATGATCTTTGAAAACTTAAAGCTAGTTTAGTTCTCACATTGAAAGATGCATCTTTTCTGGCCATAAGGGTCCGGATTACACTCCCATCTCTGCTTATTAGCTTTGTGATACTGATCAAGTAACTTCCCTCTTTGAGCCTCAGCCCCTCCATCTGTTAAATGAAGGTGGTGCTCTTTGCACCATCTACCTCATCAAGGTGTTATGAGGATCAAGTAAGATAACGATTGCAAAATCACTTACAGTTGCTTAATTACTGCAAAAACCTCTTAATTGGTTTCTCCATCTCTGCTTTTTCTCTCTTCCCTAGTCCTACACTATCAGAGTAGTCTTCCTAATATATCAATTTTATATTGTCATTCCCTTCTTAAAAACTCCTATCACTCTCACTGTTGCTCTAAAATCATTATTGCAAGTTTCTTTCCTGTATTGAAGTGAAATCTTCCTCCTTATATTTTCTACCCATTGGTTTTAATTCCTTCCTCTGAAGATACACAGGACAAGTGTAATCACTCCTCTCTACAACAGCTTTTTGGATCTCTGAAGACAGCTGTCATGCCCCTCTGTCTTTTCTTCTCTAGACTAAAGATAATAGCTGCCTTCACTAAGGCATCATTTTGAGGACTTAGGGCAGCTTTTATTAATTTGAAAAGGCTTTAAGGACCAGCCTGGTGATGAACTATATGTCCTACCTTTCTAAGTGTGAGGATGCTCATGACCAGGTTTGCCACAGGGTAATGAATTTTCTGGTCACAGCAAATCATGAAGTCACTTTCTGAAAGTATTAGGATCTGTACTCCTGGAGGAGGTATCTACATTGATGTTATCATAGATACTTGAAGTATTGAAGAATAATTGATATTTATATAGTGCTTTAAAGTTGACAGAAGTGAGTTCCAACTATCATTTCATCTGACTTTCACAACAGATTGATGAGCTAGCTAGTCTAACTATTGCTAATCCCCTATTGTACAGATGAGGAACCTGAGGCTCAGAGAGCTGAAGGGTCTTATCTAAGATCACATAATTAGTAACAGTCAGAGCTGGGACTCAAACTCAAGTCTTTTCAGTGGCCTTTCCATTATACATCACTACTTCCTATGATTAGTTTCTGCAAGAGTCCTCATGTGACATAGTTTGGTGTCCCATCACCATTCTGGTCATCGTCTTCTTGATTAGCTTGTTGAATAAGTCAAGGAAGTAGTTTTCAGTATTAACCTCTCTTGTTTTTCCCCTTTGTTCCTTTCAGGTTCGAATGGTGAAAGATGGTGACCCCTGCTGGAAGCCCACTTTCATTGTGAAACCTGATGGTGGTTGTCAAGGTGATGGAATCTACCTCATTAAAGACCCCAGTGACATTCGAATGGCAGGAAACCTCCAGAGCAGGCCAGCTGTGGTCCAGGAATACATCTGTAAACCTCTCCTCATTGACAAGCTGAAATTTGATATTCGTCTGTACGTCTTACTAAAGTCTTTAGATCCCTTAGAGATTTATATAGCCAAAGATGGACTCTCTAGATTTTGTACAGAGCCATATCAGGAGCCTAATTTTGGAAATTTACATCATGTATTTATGCACTTAACCAACTATTCATTGAATATCCACAGTGGAAACTTCATTCATTCTGACAATGCCAATACCGGCAGCAAAAGGACTTTCTCCAGCATCCTTTGCAGACTTTCTTCCAAAGGAGTTGACATCAAGAAAATCTGGTCAGACATTATTTCTTTGGTCATTAAGACTGTTATTGCACTAACACCAGAGCTCAAAGTATTCTATCAATCTGATATACCATCAGGAAGGCCTGGGCCAACATGCTTCCAGGTAAGCCTTTAAATCACTGGTACAAAATCATAATTGAGAAGGTTGCTCTTGTTAGAAACTTTAAAACATAAAATTCTGGAGCTGGAAGAGATCTTAGAACATAGGAAATAGGCTGTGGAATGTTAGAACACAGAAAATAGAATATTGGATCTGGAAAGAACCAAAGAAAATCACCTAACCCTATCCCCTCCTTTCATGGAAAAAGAAACTTGGATCTAGACAGCTAAAGAAATGTTTATGGGTAAGGGTAAAGCTAAAATTTGTTATTGAGGTTCACTCTGACATGTGTCCATCTACTTGAAACATAATTGAATGTCAGAACTAGAAAGAACCTTAGAGGCTCTTCCTTTACAGATGAGTAAACAGAGGCCTAGAAAGAGGAAGTGATTCTACCTGAGCAGTAGATAAAGCCTCATACTGATGAATGGTCATCCAGTCTTGGCTTGTATACTTACAGTGACCTTTACCTTCCTGTGATGTTTCATTTGCTAGTGCTTACCTTACAGATCAGATGCACTAGAACTGTTCCATCAGACTTGAAAGCAGGAAGCATGTATCATCTTTGAAGGCTGGGAAACTTAGTACTTGATGATTAAGAATGATAAACATTGGCCTCTCCTGCTCATCAGTCCTTGTCTTTTCATGAGCATCTCATTTCCCAGGCCAGGTCTAAAGTTAGATAGATGATATTACTGCCTTGTCTTAGAAGCATAATCATTCTTGTTCTTTGACCATGTATTATTTAACAAGCCTGTAATACTGATCGTTTTCCACAGACTTTCTCTAACTTGGGAGAAAGACAAAGAAACCTTCCACAAAATATCCATCTGAATTTCCATTTCAGAAAGAATAGATTGATCTGGAATTGGAAAATGGTTAAAAAAAAACCCACTATACTTGGAATCAGAAAACCTGGATTCTAATCCTAGTTCTCCCACTCAGTAGTCACTTCATTGTGGACCAATCATTTATCCTCTGTGATCTCCCTTAGTTTTTAAAATGGGGGACAGTAGTACTTGCTTTAAGTAGTACTTAATTGTACAACTTTTCAAATCACTTTACTTCTATGGGCCTCCATTTTTCATCTGAAAATTGGGATAATATTATATACCACCTGTATGAATTTAGGGTAAGTTCCCTCATTTCTCTATGCCTTAGTTTCTACATCTGTAAATTGGATATTACAGTATTTCTGTAACCTCCCTAAAACAAGATACTGTGTATGGAAATATTTATAAAAATGCTTTATACATTCAGGCAATCATAGTGAATATAGTATTGTCTACAATAGTGAATTGTAGTACCTGAAAGAAGACCTTGGATCATAGAGGTGACTCAGTATTCTATTTCTCATTCCCAGATCTTAGGATTTGACATTCTTCTAATGAAAAATTTGAAGCCTATGTTGCTAGAAGTAAATGCAAACCCCAGCATGAGAATAGAACATGAACAAGAGGTAAGACATCTCTCTCTCTCTCTCTTCTCATCATTTTCTATGTTATAAATATTTTCAAGGTTAATGCTTCAAAAAATCCATCTCTATCTGGGGCCTCCCTCCCTCAAAAGAGATCAAATTGTTGTTACTTTTTCTTAAGAAAGGGTCTTCATGAGTTGCTGTGGCCAAAAAAAGAACCATCCTTTAGTAGTTAAACCTCTGGGGATGTACCTCTTCTAGTCTAGGTAGGCTGATTCTTAGAAGATGGATGGACATATCGTCCATTGCGAAGTCTTAACTTAAAGAGTTTCAAACTTGGCTTGGACCTGTCAGAGCTTGGACTGTACTGGCACAGCTGTCATGTGTTCCCTGAAGAAGGGCCAGACTATCCTAATTAGGGAAATATCTGGAGTAGGGAGAAGGACAGAAAGATAACCTTTGCCAGGGAAATGGGACAAGAAAGGCTGGAGACCAGAGGCAAGGCTGGCTGATTACCACAAAGACTGTAGGACAGTGCAATCTTGGAGTCTGAGCAGAGTGGGTGAGTGAGTTGTTAATTTGAGTGCAAAGATGAGCAAATTTGTTGAAGATTAGAGAGCTAAAATTCAAGGAGGGCAGAAGAGTTTGTATTTTTTTCTAAATCCAAGCTGCTTCCTGGATAATTAGACCTTTTTGTTCCCAGGGCATGTGTGACCTTCCCTGCTAGTGCTAATACCCTTCATGGTCTCATGTGGGGCTTGCTGATTCAGCCATTCTTGATGAGTTGTGGGTTCATGCAATAGCCTTCCAAAATCCAGAGTCACTTCCATACAATTTTAGAGGATGTTTTATATCAATAATCTGATGAATTTGTGATGTATTAATGTAGGTATTTCTTCCAGTGATACTGATGGTGACCCATTCAAGGCTAGCTATCCTGTACTACCTTTGTGCAAATCTTCCTATAAATTCTTCCTGGGGTGAGGAGGGGAGGGGAGAACCCAACTTGCTTGAGGTCTGATCTAGATTTTTTAATATTTCATTAACATTTTTTAAAAGATAAAGCATCTAGGGGCAGCTAGGTGGCGCAATGGATAGAGCACCGGCCCTGAAGTCAGGAGGACCTGAGTTCAAATCCGGCCTCAGACCAAACACGTGACACTTACTAGCTGTGTGACCCTGGGCAAGTCACTTAACCCCAATTGCCTAAAAAAAATAAAAAATAAAAAATAAAGCATCTAGAAATATACTAGTTATTAATGTTGTTTCAAGTCTGGATATTTTCAATTTCGTTGAACTTGGAATGTCATGTGGAAAAATCCACATGCCAGTTTTTTATATTTTTATGGTCTTGAAACCTAGAAATGTGGCTAGCTTTTTCCATCAAATTTAACATGTACTAATTAGTGATTACCCAAGAGACCATCTAATTGAAATTATGATGTGATTTAATCTTGTTGACATGTCTGGATCACAAATATAAACAATGATTGTCTTCTTAAAAAATTTTCATCAATTCTTTTGGTCATCATTCTTATAATAAGTAGTATACATAAACTGTTCATGAATTTTTAAAATCTAGACTTGTGATTTCATTGGTGTAAGGAACTTCTGACAAGGAATCTCCATCTCCTGCTGCAGATTAGCAACTACTTTAAAACTTACAGCATTAGAGAGTTGCTAAGGGGGACTGAGAGATTCAGTGGCTTATCCTGGGTCACCTAGCCTCTGTGTGTATGTGTGTGTGTGTGTGTGTGTGTGTCCATGTACATGTGCACATATATATACATATGTATATATATTATATATATCTCCTCATCATATATATGTATATCCCCATCATATATATGTGCATGTGTATATATAAGGCTATTTAAATATCCCTATATATTTATATATACTATATATTATATTTATATATTTATATTATGTGTTTATGTGTGTATATATAAAAGATGGGGCTTGAACTCAGGTCACTCTGACTCTGAGACCAGCTCTCTATGCATTATATTATTTCTCTCTCTCATCTATGATTTACAAAGGTTTTTTTAATATAATCTATCATCTGATCTTTAAGAGAACCCTATGATATGAAAAAATGCTCTAAATCACTATTGACTAGAGAAATGCAAATCAAAACAACTCAGAGATGTACCACATCACACCTATCAGACTGACCAACATAACAGAGCAGGAAAATAATAAATGTTGGAGAAGATGTGGGAAAATTGGAACACTAATGCATTGTTGGTGGAATTGTGAACTGATTCAACCATTTTGGAGAGCAATTTGGAGCTATGCCCAAAGGGCATACCCTGTGACCCAGCAATAGTACCTCTAGGGCTGTATCTCAAAGAGATCATAAAAATGGGGAAAAGATTCGCATGTACAAAAACATTTATAGCAGCTCTTTTTGCGGTGGCAAAGAATTGGAAATTGAGGGATGCCTGTCAATTGGGGAATGGCTGAACAAGTTATGGTATATGAATGTAATGGAATACTATTGTGCTATAAGAAATGATGAGCAGGCAGACTTCAAAAAAACCTGGATAGAATTGTATGGACTGATGCTGAGTACAGTGAGCAGAACCAGGAGAATGTTGTACACAATAACAGCCACATTGTGTGATGACTAACTTTGATAGACTTAGTCCTTCTCAGCAATGCAAGGATCTAAGACATTTCCAAAAGTCTCATGATGGAAAATGCTATCCACATCCAGAGAAAGAACTATGGAGTTTGAATGCAGATCGAAGCATATTATTTGTTATTTTTTTTCTTCTGTTCTGTTTTGTTTCCTCTTTCTGGTGGTTCCTCCTATTGGTTCTAATTCTTCCTTACAACATCACTAATGTGAAAATATGTTTAATAGGAATGTATATGTATAGCCGATATCAGATGGTGCGCTGTCTTGGGAAAGGAGGCGGAGAGAAATTTAAAACTCAAAAACTCGTGGAAGTGATTGTTGATAAATTAAAATAAATTAATAAGAGAAAGAGAGAACCCTATGGTGGGAAGGGGAAGTAGTATAAGTATTGTTATTTCCATTTTATCATGTGAGGCTGAGACTAAAGGATAATGTGATTGGGTCAAGGCCATATAGCAAAGGAATGACAAAGCTAAGATTTGAAGTTACATCCCCTTCCTTCAGATCTAGATCTCTTTCTAGTCTCTCACAACTGCCTCCCCTGGGAAGGAAGGGGAGTGTGCATTTCCTGTGATATCAGTAGGTAGTCTAAGTCTTATTATCACCCATTTAGTGGTAGGGAAAGTAAGGCTCAGAGTGGCAAAATAAGACACCCATACTTGCACAGCTGGTAAATGACACATACAAGACTTTAACCTAAATTTTCAGATTATACCATTATAGGTATAAAAATCACTCATAAGAGTAAATTCTTGACAAATCGTGTGTGTGTGTGTGTGTGTGTGTGTGTGTGTGTAATAACACCCCCACATTCATTGGATGTGGTGTGTAGAAGGAAAATTGACATCTGCCTGCCATTTACTAGTTCTGTAACTTAGGGGTATCTTGTTTTACTTAGTTTCCCCACTTCCTAAACTGAGGATAATAATACTTAGATGACTTACATCACTAAGTTGTTGTGAAGATAAAATGAGGTAATATAAATCATGTGTTTTGTTATCATAAAGTTCTAAAAAGTTAGTTATTTTATATAAAAGGGTTGTCATCTCTAAGACTGAGTCAATGATATTTTTTAAATTGTATTCTATACCTTAACATTTTCATGACTATATAGTCAGGAATACAGCTTAAGCTAATACAAACAATGAAGAGAGTATGCATTTAGCACTGAAAAAAACTATCTTCACTGTAACATAGAATCCTTTGTAATTCAAGCTTTCTCCAGGGGTGTTTGAAAATGTTCCAAGTCTTGTCGATGAAGAAGTAAAAGTAGCAGTAATCAGAGATACTCTCCGCCTAATTGACCCACTGAAGAATAAGAAAAAAGAAAACCGGTAAGTATTTTTATATAATTTGCTTTTCATCATCAGTACTTTATAATATCTTAAGTCAGGTAAATTAAATTCTTCAGATTGCAAAAAAAATTGCTTTCTACCTTATTTAAAACATTTTAAAATGTTGATAGTGTAAGTGTGATTTACATATCAAGTAATCTAATAATCATGTTTGCCATTAATGAATAACATGGCACCTAACCAGAGTGATTCACAAAATTAAGTATTAAAAGATATGCATATTAATCTGGTACATGGGGCTTGGTTAATGAATACTTGTCTAATATAGATGAAATTTGGAATAAATCACCTGTAAAAATCATTTCCCCCCCAAAATTTCTTGCAAAATAGTAATGTATCACCCATATTTATATTGTATTTACCTTTGAAGATCTCAAAGACCTTCAATATATTCTTGAATGAAGAATCAAAAATGTTAAAGCTTGAAGGGACCTTAGCACATAAAGTGTTAGAATCTAGATCATATAATGTTATAGCTCTAAGTGACGAAAAACATAGATTGCTAGAATTCTGAAATACTTGCTACTCTAAATGGATCTGTGATCTCATCAATGTGGTTAGTTACTCCAGTGATGCCAATTGCAAGCTATCTGTGACTATTCATCCTGGACAACTCCTATATGTGTCTTCCCAGAAAATGCTTCGTCACTCTTGACACTTTGCTAATACCAGTGGACACACAACACAGGCTGTCTACTGGTTATCCTTCTCACCAGATGATTAGCCTATCTTTTTTGTTCATACATTTTCTTTTTCTTGTAGGTTTTCTTTGTAATTCCTTTTTTTTTTTAAATAATACCTAATGACCCCTGCCATGTGCCTCTCCACTGCTATCTGGATGATAATCATTTTTCAATTCTTTAGATTAGTGTTGCATGACTTCTAGTCCTATGATACTGCCAGTAGAATATTGGTATTAAAAGCATGGGTCTTTGTTTCAGGGAAAATTTGTTCATTAAACTAACATTGCAATCCAACCCACTTTATTCCTTTTATTCAATTTTGGGCCTAATTATTTATTTTTAGTGTTTGTCCAAATATATATACATATATACATTTGTGTTTGTGTGTGTGTGTATGTACATCCCTACATATATGAGTATATGTATGTGGTGGATGAGCTTTCTAGATTGTTCATCTAACTGCCTCCCAGAATCTGGAGGATAGGCACCCTTCATTCACTCCGCTTTTGTTTTGTTTTGTTTTGTTTTGTTTTTGCAAGGCAATTGGGGGTAAGTGACTTGCCCAGGGTCACACAGCTAGTAAGTGTCAAATGTCTTGAGACTGGATTTGAACTCAGGTCCTCCTGACTCCAGGGCTGGTGCACTGTGCCACCTAGCTGCCCCCACTCCATTTTCCTAAGCAGTTTTTAGACCAAACTCTTTAGAGTGAGAGTGATCAGCGATCTCATTTAGGAGGTGCTACAGGGTTCCAGGACTTGATGAAATTAGTACATTGTCATCTTCAAACAGAAGCATCTGGAAAATGGTGAGGTCTTTTGGACCCTCTTTAACTTAGTTTCTATGCTGGATCTCCTCCATTAAGATGTGAAAAATCTTTGGTGAGCATTTGGCTCCTTGTTTTATGCTTTGCCTGACATTAATGATCAGAAGGTTGTTTAGTAGGGCTGTTATATTTTTCAAGGAACCATAAATTGTTGACATGTGCATAGGAGACACCTTATTGGAGGAGAACTTGTAAGGTGGCATTTTGCTTTGCCATATTGAATGCTTTTTTTTTTAAGTCAGCAAACAGTATGCACAATGACATTTTATATTCTCTGTATCTTTCAATTAATCTTATGATGGTAAAGATGTGATCTACTTTGGAATATCAGTTGTGAAAACTTGTCTATTTCTTTCTACTATCTCATGAAAGATGTCAATACATAAAAATTTTATGTAAATGGGAAAGCAGGCAGGTATATAGTTCAATAGTTTATATTTTCTTTGACACTTTTTTTTGGTCATTATAAGGCAATTATAATATGATGTTGTTTTTTTTTTCAATGCCTTTGGTATTCTCCCCTCTCCTAGATATCTTGAGAACCTACATATCTCAATACTCTCACAATTGTGATGCCTCGTTCATGGGCCTCCTTTCTTTCTACTTGGTGTACTTTAGATGCTTCTGTCTTCTCCCTCTCCCCCCACCTCTTTCTCTCCCTATCTATTTCTCCCCCCTCTCCCCTCTCTCCACCTCTCTTTCTGTTTGTCTTTTCCCTCTTATCTCTCTCCCTCTCATTTATCTTTCTCCCTTCTCCCTTCCTCACTTTCTTCCCTCTTCATCCACCCTTTCTCATTCCCCTTCTCTATGACCCTCTTTTCCCCCTTCATTCTCTTTCCTCCCCCGCTCCTCCTTTCCCTCTCTCTTCTGTCTCCTTTCTCTCCCTGCTTACCTACTTTCCTCTCTCTCTACTTCCCTTCCTCCTTCTATCTCTGTTCCTCTCATTTTCTTTCCCTTTTTCTCTTCCTCTCCTCTCCCTCTCCATATTTATTTCAGTATTTCAAGAATTTATAATTTCTTTCATTACTGTGAATCTTATCTCCACATGAAGATTGTGGACTTAGATTTTGTTCGTGAGTTGCTTTGTTGAAAATAATTACCTGGTGGTCAGAAAGTAATGATTAATTAATGATTAGTAAATTAGTAACCTTTTCTTAATGAGCCTTTCTGCATTTAGCTAGCTCCAAATTATAGCTTGCACTGCCCAGACGTAGTCTGCTTCTGGGCCTATAGTCTAATCCTTTTAGCTTGATAGGACCTATTAAGAGTCAGAGGCTACCTCCATATGTGCTGATGAAGTATCAGAAGAGGATTTTGAAGCTGCCTCTTCCTCCAACAAAAGTTCCAAAACTCCGTGAATGAATGGAAAGGCTCTGTTACTGGATTATCTTGTTGCTCATGTTGGTGACTTTGTTTCCGTGCTCAATTATAATAAAATTGCATAAAGGACAAGTGAATTTACTATTTCAATTCTTTTAAGTAATATTTTCTAATGGTAGAATCCTAGGCTATAGGGAACCATTAGAAGTCACTTACTTAATCTCATCTTGCTTCAACTAGGTTGGCTCGCCGGTCCTGTTCGTGGTGATGATTCCACAGTTTGTGTTGGTGGTGGGCCCTTTTTCATAACAGTTGCATACATTCAATCTCTTGTCAAGTCGTTTCTACTTTCACACCATCTCTTGTATATATCTCCCTCTCTCTGCTTACACAGCCATCATCCTGGTACACCTCACACCTAGTTGTTATCCCTACCTTGTCTCTCCCCACTCTAACCCATTCTCTACTCAACTGCCAAAGTGATCTTCCTAAAGTTTGGGTCTGGCTATATATCTCCATTCTATAAACTCCATTATCTCCCTATTACCTCTAGGATAAGATATTAAATCTTCTACTTGGCTTTTAAAGGCCTTCACAACTTGGTTCTTTCTAGTCTTTTAAAATTTTACTCTTCTTCTCCTACTCTATGATCCAGCGACATTGGCATTCTTTTTTTTTTTTTCTTTTTTTTGGCTAGGCAATGGGGTTAAGTGACTTTCCCAGGGTCACACAGCTCCAAGGCCAGAGCTCTATCTACTTCACCACCTAGCTGCCCCTCTGACACTGCCTTTTCACTGGCTGTCACCCTTACCAGCTCTCTTTTCCTTCTCTCTGTCCCCTGGCTTCCCTTGCTTCCTTCAAGTCTCAGTTCAAATCCCAGCTGCTGCAAAAGACCTTTTCCAGTGTCTCTGTCCCCTCCCCAACCCCCAAGTCTACTGCCAGTTCCTTCTCTCTGACATAACCTCCCATTTATACTACATATCTATCTATCTATCTATCTATCTATTTATCTATCTATCTATCTATCATGTACATACTTGTTTACATATTGGACCCAACATTAAAATATGGTCTCCTTTTTTTTTCTTTCTAAAAAATATTATTTGTCATATGGGATGGCTCTTGGAGAGGAAAAGAAAGGAAGGATATTTGAAATAATTATGATGATGTAAGAAACAGAAAATATCAATAAAAACTCATTTTTTAAAAATGAGCTCCTTGAGGGCAAGGACCACATTTTTGCATTTCTTTGTATCTTCAGCATTCAGTGCAGTCCCCGCACCATAATAAGCACTAAACAAACCCTTGCTTGTTACTATTGTTCCACTGGATGATGGTTTTGGAGAATTGACTAAAAGCAAGGTGTGGTGTGGGTGGTGCTGTTATTCCAGGGCTCCAGAATGGACAAGTGGAAATGGAGAGGGAAGAAAGTGCATTCTAGGTATAACAACAAACTTGAACAAAGACCCCAAGGTTTGTATATACTCACATAAATTTAACTAGCCCAGTTTGATGTAGAATACATGAAGGGAGTTGTTGCTTGGGACCAAATTATAATTGGCTTTGACTTCCAGGCAAAAGAGGTCAGATTTTATTCTGGAGACAATGAGGAGTCACTAAAGCTTTTGGTATGAGAGAAGTAATAGAATCACAGAGAGCTATGTACTAGGAAGTTCACTTTAACAGTAAGTGCTAGATATGTTGGGCACCTAGAACGGGGTGCTGTGGATAGAGCACTGGCCCTGGAGTCAGGAATCAGGAGGAGCTGAGTTCAAATTCAAGCTCAGATACTAGCTGTGTGACCCTGGGCAAGTCACTTCACACTGTTTACCTCAGTTCCTCATCTGTAAAATGAGTTAAAGAAGGAAATGGCAAACCACTCCAGTATCTTTGCCAAGAAAACCCCAAATAGGGTCACAGAGAATTGGACACAGCTGAAATGACTCAAAAACAAAAGCTAGATATATTAGAGAGGGTCAAGACTGAGGGAGGAAAGACCTATTAGGAGGTTATTATAGTAGTCCACTTGAGATAAAGTTGCAGAAAATTACCTTGTTGACTGACTTCCCAGATGCACATTTAAATCCAAGTAATGTTAATGTGCTATTTGTTGTTTCCTCCATTTCGTAGGGGCAGAACCTGAAATATCGCTG